CCCCAAAACCCCAAAACCCCAAAACCCCTGCGAGCAAGGTAAAAATTGTAAACACTTCAATTAAAATGGAACCATCTCCTAGCAGCCACCCTTCCTTTAAAGAATGATTTCCTAAATTTTATGAGCTGCTGAATGCCGGCGAGTTCGATCAGATATTTTATAAGCACCAGCATCAGGAAGACATGTGGAAAGTTTATGGTGTAATAGAGCAGCAGATTTTTGAGAAGTGTAAAGATGAGCTTAGTGGTAGGATTTTAGGTGGATTGGAAATTTAGGGATTTTAGGACAGGCTTTGGAGGATTGTATGATGTGTGGATTTTGACATATACATACGTTGATAGCTACGTATAATGTGTTGAGGGATGACAGGTTTGGAGGGCTTAGTGGAGAAATTCAGAACCAGTTATTGTGGGCTGCTTTGTGTCATGATTTGGGGAAAAGAGGAAAAGCTGATTTTGAAGGGAAAGATCATATCCATCCATTCAGAAGTGCAGCTTACTTTGTCAATATCTTGAAGAACAACAATCTGATCAAAGATGAACTTCGAGACAAAGCTGAAAAACTGAGTGAACTGGTGTTTAATGCACACACTGATATTCAATACGAATGGTTTCAGAGAGAAACCCGACGCTTTCCTGACAAAGTATGTGACCAAATGCATGACCATGCTAAGCTATATGATATATTTAACCTCCTTGAAGAAGTTGCAGATGGAAGTATATTTATTAAATAATGTGTTCGTAGTGATCTTGTTCCACCAGAGTATCTGGGGAATAAAAGACTTCCAGCCAATGAAGCGTCTGGAAGACGAAGAAATAGTAGAGTATAAAGAATATCTAAGTGAAGATGTGCTTAATATGCTTGATATCTTTATGCACTGTGATAGTTATGCTTATACGATAATTGGAGAAAGTGAGAAGATCATAATGCAGTACCGGAAAGAAATATCTACAGAGATCAAGAGAATTTCATGTTTATTAGGGTTTTAGTCAAGTCTTAAAACTTGAATGATTTGATTTATTTTAAGGAGTTTATAAAGAAGATTAACACCTAATTGTAAAATATGTATAATTTTGTTGCCATTATGCATACAGCCCATAAGATATTACCTCGCTTATCCTCTATTGTTATGAGGATGAATCTAAAATATCCTTATGGTCCTTAATTTGTATTTCTCCACTTTACATTCTATTCTAATTTCCCTTCTCGCATTTAAAATAGAACCTCTGTCTCAGTCTTCCATCTATATTGGCCACTAAAGGCTCCCAACAATCTTCATTATCATTTTTATCGAGTTCCTCTCTTAAAGGGATGGGTTTCTCCTTACTTAGATTTGGCCCAAGCTTTCATATTTCTACTCTTTGTTTCACTTCTGAATTCTCTAGATAATCAAGAGAAGAGGTTTTCCTTGTATCTAGTTATGCCAATGGCTTAATCCTGAGCCAGTTGCAATTACCTTGCTCTAAACATCTTCAATATGTGTTGAGTAGACACATTCTGAGGTATCTAGCCAGGCTTTTGTGTTTCCTTTGTCAAAACAATGAAGGTCTTAAGTCCCAGGGACCAAAAAAGAGGGGAAATAGTTACCATAAAGAGTCAGAGCACGAATGTTGGGAAAAACTGAATTAAAGCATTTCAACACACAGTAGGATTTTTGGGGTTTTGGGGTTTTGGGGTTTTGGGG